CTCTATTTTCTTGTCCTTAAAAACATAGCAATTGTCACAAAATTCACCAATTAAGTTCAGTAACTATTCTAAAATATTCTTTAAATTTTTTCAAATGTAGGGAGACAGTGTCCAGGATGTGATAACACTTTGTTAAGTTCAGTTGCTATTAAGAAAATTTTTTGACGACTGGTGAGAAATAACTTTAAAAGAAAGTGACCATTACAAAAACTTGTTATCAATTTTATATCCCACAAGTGTATGGATCGTAATAAGTAGTTAAGTGTTTCTTTTGCCTCTCAATGTGTGATTCCCTCCCTCAATTTCCTGCTCTAGTGTTGTGTTTATGTATTTTTCAAGCCTTGAAAAAGTTTTAGTTGGGTTGGGCTTTTTAAAAAGTTGAATTTCACTTGAAAATCTTATTTGATGGCAGCGAGGCACCTACCTGTTGCAATTGGGCACCTGAACACAGACTTTCGGGAAAAAAAAATCGAAAACATAGCGCTTGGGCACTGCGGTCGTCAGCTTTGATTGCACTACACTACATTCAGTCTTTTTAGAATAACTTTTTCGTCCGATATCTGATTGAGGCGATTTAAGATGTGTTGGAAAGCTAACTCAAAGGGATACAACTATTCTCCAGATATGATTTTCAAATTCGATCATTTACTATATCAAAAATAGATCTTAATATGAGTTTGAAAACGGTGCATAAATTTTTTCGGTTGGAACTTGATGTGTGATCATACTTTGATTATATTTCATCTCTTTGATGTCTTTCTTTATCAAATTGACTTCGAGCACTCTTGAATCTTCATCATGAGGTCTGACACAACTTTTGAGTATTTGCATTTTAGTCCCCGAACTTTGAATCTCTTACAACTTAGTCATTTTCTCCAATTTTGTCAACTTTTGCTTATTTCCTTCAGTTTCTTGTACTATAATTGAATTTTACCTATTTAACACCAAAGGCGATAATTTAGATCATAATTTATCCGAGAAGCAATTAAATATCATCATTTTAAAGTCTTGAATAAATATATAAAATACACTTATCAATAGTTAACTCATTAGAGACCATTAGAAGAATGAAGAAGCAGCTAAAACTAATAGTAATTCGTCTTGAGCATGTTGGGGAAAAAAAGAAGCTATTTACAAATTTTGATGAGCTGAGAAAAAGAACAAGTTCTATCTAGAAAGTAAGCAAAGAATCTTTTTTCAGAGAAGAATAAAGAGTTGTATTTAAATAAGTTTGAAGAAAATAATCTCAAAAATATAATTTATACAAAAGAAAAAAGAAAAGAAAGCATAATTTTACGTAACTTTTAAACTTAGCCAACCGTGATACCTAAATACATACCATATTTCATACTACAAACTCCAACTATGTTGAATTCCAGCCCTTAAGTATTTAATTAAACAATTATTTACGTTGTAATTATAATTGGGCCATAAGAAATTTAACCTTTTAAGTCTTAGCAATTGCTAGAAACGGAACGAGGTCATATGATACGATATGAAGTATTGATCACAACAACAAGATTAATAGAAAGACAAGAACTTAATTTGGTAGAGGAATTGAAGATTTTATTCAACTATAAAGGAAAAAAGAAACCACAACAGTTGTGCCGTTTACAATAATTATAATGTCCAGCAATAAATCTAAATGTGAGGAAGAGTCCGCTATTTATAAGGGTACATGTCAAACCCTAATAATAATCCAAAAGATAGAAAGTAGGTCAAAAATACGTAAAAACAAAAACATGAAAAATCTCAAAGCGCTGCGATGCGACCGCCCAACTAGTGCTAGGCGAGCATCAGGAGCGTGCTCGGGTGCCAAGCGAGCGTTAGGTGAGCAACAACACTATGTTGAAAAATTAGCCCCATCACTCATCAACTCCTTTTTCCTCCTCCAACTTTTTGACATCTTTAAGTCCAATACTCCAAACCATAGAAACCCTATTTCGAATTTGGGTCACAAGCCCCCAACAATTTCCACATTGACACAAATTTCATTGTAACGAACAAAACTCCAAAATTTCTCTACTTAGAGAAAAATCCGAGTGTAAAAAATGAACTGAACTTTTCAACAATAACAAAACTAATTTCTCTAATAAAAATTCTCTGCCTCTTCCACAATATCCAATTAGGATACATGAATCCAAGCACTGCTCCGCAAAATTACCTTGAGTTCAACTAAAAAATCAAAAATTATTTAAAATTTATCAAATAGGATTGAAACACACTCTGAAACAAAATCTACACTAAGAATTCGTTTGATTGATTGCTATGGAATTTGCATAGAAAGAAAATAAACTATATGCAATTCAATTGTCTAGAACTTATTTGTATGGACATAATTGATTAAAGAGCAAGCGAATTGCCTAAAAAATAAGAACCACGCATCCCTATAGAAAATGTTTTCCTTATTTTTTAGAAAAATATGATCACGGGACCAAACGTTAAATAATATTTTTCATGGAAAAAGAGTCAATCAAATACCCTAAAAGTAGAAATTTGGATTAAAAAATGACATTTTTGATAGAAAATAAGTCAATCAAACACATTTTAAATATTTTTGTAGAGGACCCCTATTTAGATTGAACACCTTCAAATACACTCAAATCATATGCAACAAAATCAGCTTTCTCCGCCTTTCTCCAACGAGTCCATCCCTAACAATTGAATACAATGGTATCGTAGGTGATGGTGAAAAAGTGTCATTGTCCATATCCTCTAAACTCGACTGAGATATATTCCTCAACACCTCCATCAGAAATAGCTAAGATATCCCCATTACTCAAATAATCCTCTGTGGCATCGGCTTCACCTGACGTATCTGATTGCCTTCCCTTTTGATTTGCAACTAAATTTCATTTATTTTGCAACTTGTTACAATCTCTCTTGATATGCCCTTTATTCTGCAATAAAAACAAAATTTATTACTAAAATCAGATTTCGACCTTTCCTTTCCGTGATCAACATAAACAAGACATTTTTCATCTCAAACTTTAGATCCAACCAAATGTTTCATCTCCTTCTTTGAAAATAAAGTATCGTACGCATCTTCAATGATAAGGGTATCACGACTTTATAAAATCATGTCTGTAAACAAAGTAAACCAAACGGGCAATGTGCACAAATGAATTAAAGCCAAATCTTTTTCAACGTACTTTACCTCTAAGGTCTTTAAGTCAGCAATGGTCTCCTTAAAGATGGCTAGGAGCTTTTTCAACGATCCGTCTTCTGTCATGCAATGAGAATACAACATCTGCTTTAGGTACAATTTGCTTACTAGACTTTTAGTCATACACAATTGCTCCAATTTTAATCACAAAGTAGATATCGTTTTCTCCTTCAAAACGTCCTGAAAGATATTATTCTAAAGATGGAGATGAATGTGTGAAATTGTCCTCCGATCCTTTCATTATTTCTCTTCCGTCGTCCGAGTTGTTGTTATCTTGTCAAATCCCAACAATGCATCATCTAAATCTATCTGAAAGAGTACTGCTCGCATATTCACCTGTCACGACGATAATTTAATGCTGCGATCCAAAAGCAGAATGTCTTTTATTGTTGCCATCAAGAACCAAAAAAAAAAAAAAAAGAAACAATCAACCCAAAGCTCTAATACCACTTGTTAGAAACAAGACAAGGTTATACGGTATGATATGAAGTATTAATCACAACAATAAGGTGAATATAAAGACAAGAATTTAATTTGACTGAGGAATTTGAAATTTTATTCAACTATAAAGGAAAAGAGAAATTACAACAATTGCATTTCTCACAATAATTCTAATGTTCAATAATAAATCTAATTGTAAGGAATAGTTCATTATTTATAAGGTACATGTCAAATCCTAATAATAGCCCAAAAGATGAAAACTAGATTTAAAAAAGAAAAAGAAAAAGAAAATGAGTCTAAAAACAAAATAGGAAAAATTCATGAATGCTGCGATGCTCGAGTGCCCGTTAGTGCTAGACAAGCGTTAGGGGCACCACTCGATCACCAAGCAGGCATAAAGCGAGCGACGACTTCTTGTTGAAAAATCCACTCGAGCACCAAGCAGGCTTGGGCTAGCGGCAAGCGAGCGTTGTCAATTCCATTTTCCTCCTTTGACCTTATTTTGACATCTTCAAATCCAATACTCCAAATCACCCAAACCCTAGTCTGAATTTGGATCACAAAACCCAAAGCAAATAAAGAAAGGACCTAATGATAAAGCTGGACTTGATACAGAGATGATTATGATTCTATATATGAATTACAAAGAGTCATTAAATCGCACTATCATATTAATATATAAGTTACCGAAAATTTCAGAAAATCAGAACTAAAATTAAAACACAAATACCTTTCTATTAACTTGATTCTAAACTGTGAACCTTGAGTCGTTGAAGCGTTTGCTATGAATTCTCGGACTAGATATTTTTAAACAGAAATATTCAACTAACAAGTAATCAATAAACTGACAAATTTAATGAATAAATCCTAAATAATTCGTGTTCTATAAATAATAACTTCCAGTCTTCCAAATTGACGATACCCTTCTGTATAAACTTGTTCTGGGAGTACCGAGTACTTCTATTATTACATTGTAAATTTTTTTGTGATCTCACCTTCTCATTAAATCCATTTCAGTGACTGTCACCTTTTCATCATAAACAAAACGTGACTGCACCATTTTGTACGTACAAATTGTACCATAAAACTTTTGCTTTTATATTTGTCATACAGGGAATAATTTTATTTGTCACTATACTATACTTTCTGATAAATTATGTTCTAAACTCGGTATTTTATTATGAACAGTTAGATGTACCAGTAAATTATTCATATACTATAAAATAAAATATATTATAATTATAATTCTACTGTGTATATATCTGCAGAGCACAAACATATAGCTCCCTACGCCAAATTCCTCCCCACAAATGACGACATAATTCACCGAAAAAGAAAACTAGAAATCCACATCTGTAGCCCACTTCTTAAATCCAAACAATCTTTTGTTTTCCTCCTATAAATTCACCTGAACCCAGCTTTGCCTCTTCAATATATCCACCACTACCTCCTCCTCTCCACCATCGTTGCCGCCGCCAACACCACAGTCTCCCCACCATTAGTCTTTTCTATCCATTTTGCACAAATTATTAACACCCAAATTCATAACTCTTTACATTAACAAAGATTTGTCCAATTATCCAATATATAGTTCCATATATACGGCTAAACATGACTACTGTGGGAGCCTCGACAGCATCACCATTGCCATCACCTGCTCAGCGATCTCCATGGCACTCACCCGTGCCTTACCTCTTTGGGGGACTGGCGGCCATGTTGGGACTCATTGCTTTTGCTCTCTTGGTCTTGGCGTGCTCATACTGGAAGTTCTCTAGCCATGGTGGCGACGGGGAGAGGGACCTCGAGGCTGGTGACGGTAATGGCAGCGAAGGCTCTGAGGCTGCCACCGTTAAACCACCGCCGGTGCTTGAAGAGAAGTATCTTGTGATCATGGCCGGCCAAGAGAAGCCAACTTTCTTGGCCACTCCTATGTCAAGTAGAGCATCATCTTTTGGTAGTAAAAGCACTTCCAGCACCAGTAGCGACACTACCGTGACATCGGAGGAGGATAATGAAGAGAAGAAGCAGCAAACTAATTGTGGACAGATAGAAATAGGGACCGTGGAGGCCCATCAGGCACCAGATCAATTCAATTGACATCTTTAATCTCCTTTTGAATTTTAATTTTAGGGTTATTGGGCATGGAGCTTTTGATTAATCCTTTGTGGACTCTGCTTCCTTTTCCGCTTCCGGAATTAAGAGACCTTTAAAGAACCAAGAATTTTTTTCTTGGTCTCATTCTTCAAAGGATTTTGCAGGAGGCCTGATCTTTCCGGAAATGTAAATAATCTTTGGAGAATTTGAGTGGAAGATGAAGCTTTTATTGCATACTGATTCTTCGTATTGGCCTTTCTTCTTACCATTATCATGGTTCTATGAGCTTTTACATTTTTTTCACAAATTACGAGAGTATTTATTTATACTGAAATATAAAAATCAAAATACTAACTGGGACGAGACAAAAATATTTTCAAGATGTTCTACAATGCAAACAATCAGAGGAGAAGATTTACATTAAATTTCGGTGCAGCGGTACTTGGTCACGTGACACTTGGATTGACTCGAGTATGTTTTCAAAGGGTACTGACTGAATCAGTTAAACTAACATGATATGTTGTTTTTCATATTTACCATTTTTCACAAAACATTGGTACCACAAAACATGATATGTCATATCCTTTCATTTACTTCGGTAAGTTCTATTCATGGCTATTTATGATCAAAATTACAACTTCAACGATGTGTTTGACACTTCTAACTCAACGATAAGTACACGTGACATATGTTTCTCTCTCTAAGATAATTGAGGCGTCAAATGAATATATTTAAGTACAGATCGTAATTGAGCGAAAAATTGCTCATCAAATCTAGTCCAACCTAATCTAGTTGGGATGAGCACTAGGAACAAACGTTCTTGTTCGTTCCTTGGCTAGAAAGGGCATAATTTCATTTTTTTGGGTAGGTATAGAGTGAAGAAAAGAGATGTGTGACCAAAGACAGTCAAGAAAATGATTTTCATCAAACTATTACATAGGAAGAAGTATATTTATTTAAATTACCTATCCAACACGTGTAAAGGTAAATTATTTCTTCAAAAGTTTCTAAAATACACGCTTTTCATAAACGCGTTGCTTCGAGACTTGAGTTCAAGACAAAAAAATATTTTAACTTGTGTCTTCAACAAATGAGTTTACCGTTAAGTAATGTTTATTTTTTCATCAAATATATGATATGTGCACGATTTTTCATAAGCTGAATTACACATAGATAAAAGTGCCAAAAATTAAATCTAAATAAATATATATCATCTTTAACGTCAGCAATAAACAAGATAAACATTTCAAGATCCTCGACCATATGAACCATAGGTTTCAGCTAGTGTATTACACAGCAGCATGCATTGTCGTGTTGAATGGGTGCAAATACTTTGGGTAGTTCCCGTTCAATCATTGCTAGGAAGACTAATGCAATTATTTCAATGGTGGAGTGGTTGATTTAACAAAGACTGACCCATAGACCACAATCATCAATTTTACTTTAAAGTGGTTCATGATGATGCTTAGTTAATATTTTTTTCATTTCAGATGAAAAGTTTTCAAATGATACTATTTGATGGAAACTTTTTAGCTATACTTCTGTTTTTTCGTGAAACATTGATTATATAATTAATAAAAAAAAATTATTTATGAGGAAATCCCTATTTTGAAATTAGAGATAAACCAAATTGTTCAATTATATATGAATGGATAATGTATTATAAGATTTAAAAATTATACAATAGAGAATGTTAAAGATTTCTTTGTACGAAAAGTTCAACTGTAGACAAATTTTACTCAACCGCCTTTCTTAAATGTTGAACCCCAATCTTGAGGGGCTCCACCGCTCCGCCCCTAAAGTTTTGTGAGGGAAGTAAATCACGAAATGTGCCCCCATCAGGTCAGAGAACAAGAGTTGCCTGTACACTACGCCTACAAGGAGTTCAATTCCATATCTCAGGAATCAAACCCCCACACTTCGACTGCCAGCAAGACATGAGATAACCTCACTCCTATCCTTTGTACTACTGGGCTATGCCCCGGGGACACTCCACCGCCTTTCTTAATTTTACCCCATCTTATCCAACCCAGAAATGAAAGAGAACTCACACAAATTCACATTTCAGAATTCATTGAGATTATTTATGAAATTGGCTTCTTGCATGGGACTTTATTCAGTTTGCTGTCAATATTGGTAATATTGCGCCTGTTTGGTTAGTTAAAAAAGTTGATTAAAATCATAGTCAAAGACAATAATTAATTTTAATTTCATATTTTATGGGTTCCACAATTCTATAACTACACATACCATCTACTTTTATTCAAAAATACTAAAAATTCAATTTCTATCTAAACCAAAAAGGGGCACTGTATAGAAAGATAATATGTTATTCCAGCTTGATATCAAGAATTGACGATGGAAGTAATTTTAAGCAGGGTTGGGGTAAAACTTCATATTGTTTAAATAAGAATACAATAATCAACATATTAAAATCTTTTCACTCTTTGTTATAAGATTAATAATTTAAGATGAATTAACCGAAATAACAATATCATATATCAAAAGGTGACAAAAAAGGTATGGAAAAAGAAAAATTCTACTCAGCCAGGTGCAAAACCAAGGTAGCTCTGAAAAGAAAAAAAAAAAAAAAAAAAAAAGTAAGTGAAATCGAGGGCTGAGGTGATGGCACCTCAACCTCTGTTTTTGAGCCTATTACTGAGTCTGACTCAATAGCAGGGCTGAAAAAGAACTAGAGCATAAAGAATACAGTATATATTTGCAAATAAAGAGAGATGCGGCAGATTGATAATGCTTTTGTGAAGTACTACCTTTATATAATTCTTAAAGCATGAACAATATACCTTCGTACTACAAATGATGTTTGAAATACAAGGAAATATATATTTCTGATCATTACCAAATCACTGTTCGTGTGTTCGTTTAGTAGTTTTCGTAAATAGGAAACTAATGTATGACAAATGTACTTGAGATAATATTCCTGCTTTTCGCAACTCTTAACTGCCTTTCGTTCAGATGCTTCTACCCATTTCTTTGTTGATAGGTTCTTTTTTTGCACAAATTTTAGTCATTTTCTTTTTTTATGTCTTTCAGAAGTGACTAAAAGAAGAAATTCCTCCCTTCCCCAGATATATCACTTAAAACATAAACAAAAACATTCTTAAATACAAATGCTAAGTGGTGACATCTTATTGCAATGATCATCAAAAATTAACTAGTGGTGATCAACTGTCTCATGTCGTTCACAATAAGAAATAATCTACTAGCAGAGTTCGGTTGGGAAATATGAGATTGTAGGGTAACCTAAACATGGTACCGTGTATAAAGATTATTAAATCATTTCATCTAAAAATTTAATGAATTAAAAAGTAGGCATTATAAAAATCTCCCACGAATTTTTAGAAAAATGCCACGTTCAGAGGCCCAAACCTACAAATAATTACTGAAGATCAAATTAATACATATTGTGCAATTCACCTAGGTACACTTTTCATCTCGTAAGAGTGCTCTACTTAAGGATATATTTTGAATCCGTTAGGTTAATTCTGTTTTTATTTCTACTTTTTGCACAACATTTTTAAGCTACTTTAGTTGAGTTTCCTTAAAAGCTCTTCTAATTTAATAAAGTATTTTTAGGAAATTATCAAAATATGTTCAAAAATGATTCTTATGCCCCGCTTGGTACTCATTTTTGTAAGAATGAGAATGAAAAATATAGTCGTTATAGGATCCACAAAAGAGATAGAAAGTCAAATATCGTGGTTTCATGTGATGGATAAAGATCGTATTTTTCATTTTTGTGACCAAAGAATAGGAATTAAACGGGGAATTAGTCTCAAAAACAATTTTTTACTTTTCAGAAATCCTGTTAAACAGATCCTTAGTATACTTCACAAGAGTGACGGACATTTTATATTACTCAATATATTGGCTCTCAATTCTATGCAACTAAAGAAATCGAAGCAGACGCACTGCCTTTTGACACTTTATCTACATTTTATGTCCAAAGGATATGTGGTCATATTTTGATTGAAAAAGAAGACTCAATGAGTGATAATTGCCTTTGTTCACAAAATCTGCTTGGAGTCATGCCATTGATAAAATGCCATTACAGCAACATCCATTAGAGTCAAGCGCAAACATTCCCCGCAATAATGCATATCTGAGAGCCACAACTCAGCCTTCCTCACTCCTGGCCTACAAAATGATAGATGCCTTGTTGAAAACCCTAACAACTAGAGGCAGAATCGGGCAAAAAATAAAATTATGAAAAAAATTCCATAAAACTTTGTTATTGTACCTAAGCAAACTATATGTGCTTGGGGCAGCCTTGGGCTCTCCCCGCCCTCCACCCTTGCCAAAAACGTTTGTGGTTTTGTGCCACATTAGATTGTACACGACAAGTGACAAAGTTTATCATGTACTTTTCTTTTATTAATAATATTCAATTGTTTGCACTCAAATGTACCTAACGTTTCTTATTTAACCAAAATTAAATTATATGATGAACACAATTACACAATTGCATGTCTTGTGGTTCTAATATAAAGAACTCAACAATATAACAAATAAAATTTAAAATTTTTTTTTTTTTTGGTGTTTTTAGTGCTATGCAAGTGTATCTACTTGCGAAAAAGAACTCCAAACAAATCCTGTGCCCAAGTTTTTGTGGTTGAGGATCGGAATGAACGAAATTCATGGCATAGGTGAAGATGAGGCCTTTCAATGATATGAGATGCATTATTTGAATTAATCATTACATTCGAACAATAATTGAAAAATGCATTACTGGGAATATTTACATTAGCATCTTCTTCCAATTTTTTGCCACCAATTAAACTCGTAGTATCGACTATCAAGTCCCATAGTTCAGCATTTGGAATTTCTTTAAAAGAAAAGGTTGGAGAGTTTAATTTATGTGATGACATGAGATGTCCAAACATACAAAATGTATTATATAATGGGCATATTTCGTACATCAATAAAAGACAGATAAGTGATAAATTAAGGTCTCATAATAACTTTTACTGGGAACCTTTCATATTTTCATATTTTCATTCCACGTTTTATGGGCTAATGTCTTTTGAATTTGTCTTTGCCGAGCATAGATATCAAATAATGGAAATTACAGGAAAGAGATTTGGAGATCTCAATTCATAAATCATAAGTCATGTTTCTTTATTCAAAAAACAGAATTCCTTTATAACAATTCAAAAATTAATTAATCTATCATACACAATTTCAATCCTAGACCCTAATTATTTCTCCCCCCGCCCCCCGCCCCTTTC